GGGCCTCGAAAATTTCGCTGGCCCGTTCGCGAGCTACCCCTAATTCCTCACTTTCCTGGTCGTCCTACATTCTGTCCCCGTTGTTTCTTTTTTTTTCCACGTTCGTCCTGATTACCGAGGGATAGCTAGCTAGGAAATTTTGAGCCGCAAGGGTAGGTCGGTTCGTATTTTATAACCTCATGCCAGGTGAATTAAAGTAAAACAACCGAAAGGGTGCAGATATGTAGTTAGAGATATTAGAATGAGAATAATGTGAAGGTTTGTTATTATCCATTTTGATAGGTTAGGTTTTTCATGAAGCTTTGAACAATTTGTGTTTACGTTTTTTATTTGATTATACCCACAGAGTACATTTACAATGTTTGGTTTTTTCATTTATTTTAAGACATCCTATGTACGCTTTAGAATATTACTTTAAATAATAATGAGTGGGTTTATTATTATCCATTTTGATAGGTTGGATTTTTTATAAAGCTTTGAACAATCTGTGTTTACGTTTTCTATTTGACTGTACCCACAGAGTACATTTACAATGTTTGGTTTTTTCATTTATTTTAAGACATCCTATTTAGAATATTACTTTAAATAATAATATGTGTGTTTATTATTATCCATTTTGATAGGTTGGATTTTTTATAAAGCTTTGAACAATCTGTGTTTACGTTTTCTATTTGATTATACCCAGGGTATACTTAAAATGTTTTTTCATTTATTTTAAGACATTCTACTTACGCTTCAAAATATTAATATCGTAATGTAATATTGAAAGGCTTGACATTGTGAGTTACGTTTCACGTTGATTCACGGTGCTCGTATCATATTTCAATTTTTCTAGTATTGAGATACGTGTAATGTCGTGTGCTACACTAGATTAGTCGCGAAGTAGTGACACACGCATGTGAGTATGAGTGTATGGAAGTATGTGTGTGCACAGCGTCTCGAAAAACAGAGGAATGCAATTGTTCCATTGGTAGCGCGGTAAAGAAGATGGCGAGACAAATAGAGCGCTGAGATGCGTGCAAACGTGTATCCACGAAAATCCTGTACATCACATATTAAATAAATCTGAAACTATTTTCATATGAATTCTAAGTGTAATCTAAATGTTCCTTTACTTTTATTTCGGCGATTAAGATTCACAATTCTCAATATCTAATATCTATGCGAAAATGAAAAACTATTAACCAGATTTAATAACTCACAGCGTCTATCGTTGATAGCTAAACATCTGTAAGGTCAACCAACGTTGAACTTCTCCACAAGTTGGAATTAAACTTATTACGAGCCAGGATACTACAACGAGATAATCAAAATCTACTCTCCTCGATATCATTCGAAGAATTCTAAATTCCTTTACTCCTTTGCCTCTTTCCCAATCGACGCAAGACGCCGTGACGTACCTAGCTAGGGGTCGTCCATGGAACAACGGGCGAGGAAATCCACGTACACAGGTGAACGAGCGCGCAACGTGAATTAGACAGCTGTCAAAGTCCCGCGGAGGAGAAGATCGAGTGGCCATATATGTGGTGCGCGAAAGGGCATCAAGAGAGCTTAGAGGAGAGGGTGGAAGGGAGGTGGTGGAGAGGGAGGGTTTGGCAGGCAGGCGAATGGATTTGGATGTGGAATGGAAGCAAGGCAATAGTAGGAGCGCTAGACAAAGACAGTGGTATGCCGGGGGAACAGGCGGAGAGCAACGGGAGATGCTGGAAAGGGGACAAAAGAGGGAGAGGGGGTGAGCACTGATAAATACCACGCCATTTCTCTTTGTGCTCCCCGGCGAGAGCACAAACACAGGGCGGCTCCCTTCGTTTCAACCTGAGCGAGAGTAGCTACCTAAACCTTCCTCTCTTCTTATTCCATCACTCTCTCTCTCTCTCTCTCTTTCTGTTCCTTATCCTTCCTCATCTCTTTTGTGCCCGACTTCGACTTTACCCTCCCGCTTTTCTCTCTCTCTTTCTCTTTCTTTCTTTTTCTCCTCTTACCCTTTCCCGGTGTATAGTCCCGTCTCTCGATCGTTTTACCATCATTCTGTTTATCTTTCGATATTTCCCAGGTTTCGGCTTTATCGCCACTTGCGGCGAGATTAGCTTAGCGAGCAAGGATTAACGACGTTCGATGAATCTGCAGCGTGTTTTACGTTGGACAAGCTTCGATTGATTCGAACAGTTGTGGACAATTGTGGTATCAGCGACGATCTTACTTAGAGACAACGAATAAAGCGGGGCCGCAGTAAAATGAAATTTGTGTGTTTCTATTACAACTATTGGGTTGGCAACTAAGTGATTGCGGACTCTGTCAATACCATCTAATGACAAAATCCGCAATCAGTTAGTTGCCAATCCAATAGAAGGATATTTACGTGCAAATTTACATGAATACAAACAATTAAAAATTACATGAATAATTAAATGAATATAAAAATTACATGCATGCAATTAAAGAAAAGAATATTTTACTTCAGATATTTTCCACGTTCTTACGTATCGTAGTCTGTATATCTTTGCACATTAACATTTTCCAAATAAATAGTCAAACGCGTTCTAATTAAAGTTACAATTACTATACGCATTCGTAAAAGCGTGGAGATCCATAACAAGCTTCTTTGGACAAACGTAGATTCTGCGCGAAAAATTTGACATTTGAAGGGAATACATAAATTATATCAGAATACTTTCAAACAGAGTGTTACGACTAACGCAATAAATAAAAAAACCAACGTATACTATTTGTATTGATCAAGACGACGAAGTTTTGTAAAGAGAAGGGTTGAAACTCCTCGCGAGCAGATGATCGATGATCGACAGGATCGTTTGAAGGACAAAACAGATACGTTTAATCCCGGAGGCGAGTCATCTCGCGTGTTTCCGATGCTTCGCAGAGGGGAACAAGCGGTGAAGTAATTAAGAAGCCTTTTTTTCGATGGATTTTCTCCAGCGGCAGCTCGCACGAATGGCGGCCAATGCCCGATTTCTCCTCAGGGATTGGTTTTAAAATTAATGCTGTGTTTCTCCGTTTCGGCTCTTAATGGATTCTGGGAGGAGCTCAGCGAGAACCAATCGCCTTCTGCAGACAACCTGAACCGAAGTGAAAGCATGACACCCACGAAACGATGCCGGCCGCTTCTCGAGATTAGGTCGTATTCACGACTTTTTCCCTTTTCCCTACCTTCGTCCCACCACTGATCCGTTTGCTTACCTGGTCATCGACTAGGGTCCATCGGTCTCAGCGACGTTCTTAATGGTAACGTAGTATAAAAACTCGTTTGGCGGTGCCTGGTGGATGGTCGCGACACGCACTAACATAGGAAATCGATGAGATATCGAGACTGGAATTTTACATTGGCTTTCGAACGGTAAATTACATTGCGTAAGTTTCATCAGTTTTGAATTTCAGAAAGAAAATAATTGGAAAGAATAGTTGTTGTTTGATATCGATTCTTCTAAGTCTTTTTTTTAATCCACCGTTCTGGTTGGTTTGTCGCTGAAAATAATTAAATTTCCTTAGAATAGGAACATGCTAGCGTAAGACATCGTAGCTTGAGTTCGTAAGAATCAATGGAGAAAATCAGGAAATTGTAAAATAATTGACCATTTGTCAAGAGTGTGCCTATACAAAATTCAAAGAATCCTCGCATTAACTGATCTTCCACGTTCTCGTAGATGTACATGTAAATACAGTTACACGTTCCAGCAACTTCATATTTCACATCGGTATTATGATCGGATCTTTTGCCAAGCATTAACACGATCGCCTCATCCCTTCTTCGATAAATTCATTCTCCTTAATATCAGTCAGCCATAACGAAAACCAGCAGATTTATCAATATCTTCGATATCCACCTACTCTGGCGTAAACCGCCCACGCACAAACCATCCGAATCACAGCCTATTCAATGTCAACCGGAACGAAGCAGACAAACGGAGACTGTCCACACTTTTTGCCCCTGAAGCGCATGCAACATAACTGTTCCGCGTTTCCCGTACCATGAATAAGATAACGTTGGTGCGTATAGCGTTTTCATTCCACCAGAATATCGACGCAGTGCCTGTTGAATAATAATCGGCCAACTACGAACCGAGTTCCGTTAGGCTGAGCCGCGAAAAGAAGAAACCAACGATCCCACGACGCAATGATGGCCGCGTACAAAGGCCGCGAATCGCTGACGTAGCGGCCGTTTAGTAGGTACATTGAGGCGTGGGCGTAGAACGGACGGTGCGTAGGCTAGCCAGGATTAAGACGTCAGGCGCCCGCGGCGCTTGATTAATGCAGCGCATTCACGGCAACGAAAAGATCCTGCGCCCTTTGCGGGATCTCGCGCGAGCCTCCGCAACCTCCGTCGAGAAACCACGTTCGCCGTTTTTCTAGCGGACACGTAACGAATAGCGAAGCGAACGAGTCGACCACTGCACTGTAACACCGCGAACCTCTGCCGCGATCGTTTGACGACACTGCACCACTCCGAGAATTCGTCCAGGACCTTCCAGCTGTTTCATACATCAAACTAATCCTAATCGATATTATGAATAATATTGGAATTTAGAACGTTTGGGAGAATTAGGGATTTTTCAAGCTCCGGAGAGTATCTAGGGAATTTAATAACATTAGGTTGCCCGAGAAATTTCTTTCGTTTTATAAGGAAATAATAGACGCACAATGTCTTTTGTTTTTGTTGAGAATTGTGGATCTGAATTGCCGAAACAGAAGTAAAGGAACACTAAGGTTACATTTAGAATTCGTATTAAGATAGTTTTAGATTTATTTAATAAACGATTTCTAGGATTTCGTCGATATACATTTGCACGCGTCTCAACACTTTCTTTGTCTCACCATCTTGTATACCACACTGCCAGTGGAACAGTTGCATTCATCTGTTTTTCGAGACGCCGCGCACACACATACTTCCACACACTCATACTTACATACGTGTGTCACTACTACGCGGCCAATCTAGTCTAGCACACAAAATTATGCATATCTCAATAGTTTTATATTAGTTTATTGAATTATGCACGTAATAATAGAAATAGAACGAAAAGAAAATAGAACGATAAACTTTGTTCGAGAAATTGTTGTTCATCTATTATTACCTTACGAAATGAAAGAAACTTTTCGGATAACCTAACAAGTATATGGCGATAGCCTTAAGATTGCTGCATAGTAGAGTTTCGTTTGTTTGAACTTTATTAACTTGAAGGAAGATACTAGGAAAGGTATTGGTGATTTTTAAAAGTTTCTTGATCGCACATAATACGATAGAACTTTCTTTATACGAAATCCGTTCATTTGAAGCATTATAGAATTTAATAATCCTTATCTCGGTAGAATTTCCATTTACGTGAGTTTTATGTATTTCAACGAAATTTTACTTTCTGTTAGATTCAATGCACTGCTGGCGATTGAACGTAACTCGTATGAATATAAACTCCTACTATAGTTACGAAAAATCATAAATAGTTGAAAGCTTCAATGAACTCTTATTATATAAATTGAACTGAGAATTGTAATATAAATGGAACTCTAAACTCTACTGTATATTCGATTCTGTATATTCTTGGAATATGACATATTACTTATATTTAATGTATCACATTAAACTATTCGGTTTGAATCTTCTCTGAAAAATCTGACATTTCAGATGATCATCATTCATACACTGAACTATATACAGACGCAAGAGGAGTCGAGAAAGTGTTAATGTATTCAGCAAAACTTGAAACTTTCAACTCCTTAGTACCTTGAAACTTATTTGGAAACCTTGAAAGCGACGTTTCATTAAAACTGGTCATTGAAACTCGAAAGTAATTATCAGTGTCTGCCGAGAATCTGGTAGCTTCAAGGACGTTGAACGCAAGCACACAGTTAACCATGGGAAACAGGTATCGTCTCACTTGGTATTATTATACCTCGAGAACGAAAGGGGCGAAGGTTTCCTCGCACATATATGCGCACGCTATCCCTTTCATCCATTTTGCTGCAAGATCAAGGTAATCGATTAAATTGGCATGTTAATAGACGAAATTGTCTGAATATTACAAACACGTAATACAAACAGGTCTTTTTCCATCTGAAATTACCGATAATTTGGAGGTTAGGTTGCATTATTAAGCAATTACCAACGATGAAATAGCGAATATCGAGCCGCTGTTGACAAAGCCACGGCAAATCGGTTGTTCGTACATGCTTGGGATAACGAGCTCATTAACCAAAGATCACCCTCCTCCATCGAGAGCAGATCACCTGTCAGTATGGCGTCGATAACCGTCTGCACCTGCGAGGGCTTGATTGTAGCTAATGTAGAGGCACTCTTTCGCCTCGATTAATGACGCACAGGAAAATGACTTCCTCCACGATACCGCGAAACCGATTCAGCTACCACGTCGATTAACCATCGTGAAATATTGTAATTTCTTTGTCACCGTGTAAACAGGTGGAAAGGAATCGTTGAGTATCTTAAAATTTACATACTAAATATTCTGTTCTTGAATTTTTCTATTATAATCTTTTGTTTTCATAAGTAAAAGAATGTTTAGTATTTCAAGATTGAAAATTGAAGAATGGAATAGAATATAAGAAGAATATAAAAATAGAAAGAGAATTGAAGCTTGCAATATAACAGCATATCTCTATTGATAAAAAGTTTCTTCAAATTTAAAAGTTATTGATATGCATGATTTGTGGTTTCAATTTTATGCTAGTTATATTGCAAGTAACGCAAATAACACAGTAGGGGAGTTAACTCGTCATTGGAATTCCTAACCTCTGGGGTATAATTATTTCTTTGTTTATCAATCTCTTACTTTTAATTGTATCGTTTCATTCTTATCGCGAGTAATTTATGTAGGTAATATTTACATTTGCAAGAACTAACATCCACCTAACTAAAATTAATTCGCCTTTGTCAAGTCTATTCAAGTCTATGATTATAGAAGTTTGCAGTTAAGTTTCTGCTCTGGAATTCTCTACCCTCGTTAATAAACTGACTCGTCGACAGACCAGGTAGCTCGTAATTTCGCATCTCGGGCATCTTACGATTTTCGAGGTCGAAAATTTCAAAGGAACGGTCAATCAACTTCCGTCTCTGGTTCTCGAAGATCGCTTCACAATTGAAACGTCAGAAAAACGAATGGCTACACGTCAGTTTGGATGGAAAAGCCATTAACGAACATGATCCTCGAAAAGGAACTGAACGCTGAAGGGGTTCTCGAATCCTTATTATCGTTACAACTAATTTTTCTTGACTCCTAAGAAAAATTCACTTCACTGCTCTACGGGAACGACCGTTCGCTCAATGCAATTCAAATTTTTCCAGATTTATCCTGTCATCTTCGTGTCTTTCCGTATCCTCGAACAAAGCTACCATCCAATATCCCCAGTACGAATCTCGAGCAAACAAAAAACCTTCCAGGTAAGTGACAATTTACACATCCAATAAATCCATAGCTTCTAGACCCATCTACTATTTTATCATCCCCTATTTGCAAACAGGATTTCCATCAAATATCCCGATTGTTTGAACTGCCAAACAATCGTCTGCACATAACCTAGAAAAAGTAAACAGTGGAAGACGAAGAAGGAAAGGGATTGGCCGATTCGTGAGGGAAACAGAGCGACATCCGATGCCAGGGCTACGTGTGGAGACAGTGGATGGACAGGACGAGATCCGTTGCATAGGACACCCAATTGAAACGTCCCGGAACGAAGGATGGATGGCTGTCACTAGCGTGAGGGAGGTCTGACCGTGCGAGCACGGTTGCCATTTTGAATTCCCCTCGATTGCTGGGCCGAGTTTGAGGGATCGTAGGCGGAGATGAAGCTTTTACACCGTGGAACGAAGACGGGAGATGGAAGGCTGGTCGGGATGGATGCCGTTCAGAAGACGACCAGGTACCCAGGCCTGATACCTCGTACAAGGATACACCTTATTCCGAGCAGAGGATAAACGCGGTAAGAGAGAGGCGCGGCCCACGGCGTCATTTATCATTGCTGGAGCTCATTAAGGCCGAATCTGCCGCACGCTGATCGTCTGGGATTACACTTTCCTCTGGTCGGATCCCTCCGGCGCTTAACCCTCCATCCTTTCGGCTCTCTGTTCGCTTCCTTCCTTCTTGCTTTCACCATACTATCCTTCGTTCTTCCAATGGATACACGTTCGTTCGTTTGTGTGTTCCAGGGTGCTCTCGTTACGAGAGATTCTCCGCTGTACCCAGCACGATCTGCTCGCCTGTCGATGAGCTGATTGCTGTTTGGATACACACGGACGCTCCCTGTTGGCAAGGGAGTTTATACGTGCGTAAGAGAAATGGCGGTGGCTGGTCCGTTTGTTCAGAATGGATTTCCAGCCAGGATTCTCTCTGTTACGAGCTAACCTCTTCGCCAGGTATTGAGTCGTCAAATGTGCCGATTGCTTCTTCGTGAATCTTTTTTAATTGGGAGGTTAGTATTTCCAATTGACTACTGTCTTTAGTTTCGAGCTTTTCATTATGCGTCCTCTTCACTATAGTTTGATAGGAATCAGCCTAATTTATGCGATCATCTGTACTTGGGTAATTACACACTTCGTTATATTCAAATGTTTACTAGTGTTAAGTGATTGCTCATCTGCATATATTCACTGTAATCACTACTTTCTCATACTGTGTCGTTTTTCTTACTTCCAGCTCCGCCAGCCAACGCCATGTTTATTTGTTAACCTCATTTGCTACATGTTTTCAAATGGGATTCTTCAGAGATATTCTACGAGGACAGTGTAAGAAGCTTCTCACTTCTCAGAAAATAACTTCTCAAAATTAAACAATTTTATGGTCTTCTCTTGTACGTACTCATCGATCTCATTACAGTGACGTTATCAGGCCAGAGGATGTTCCATTACCAAACGCGTGACGGTTGCCCAACAACTTTCTAACGTGCAATTCCAACAGAGGATAGCGAACACCAAATTCCGCATGCAGAACTGTTGCTCTCGCTGAGCCGCAAAGTACTCTTCGGCGAGTCTATTTGATCAGGTAGCATGCGATCGCTGCATCAACCCCGATCAATCTCGTTACAGCAGTTTCTTTCGCGAGACGACCACGAACAGTTTCACTCGAGAGCAGAATCACAAAGCGTGGCAACTTTAGCAGACGCCATTTACGCGCTCGTCGTTCTTTCCAGCTCCCGGCTCACATGCTGACCTCGCTCGGTTTTTCCGACCGGCCTCCGGGCGAAATCCGGCGAACGGTGCATTAACTCTCCAACCCGAGCAGCCTAATGACGCCACCGCGTCCCCATAGGGATCCTACGCTCGTGATTTCTTTCTCGCTGCTTTCTGTTACCAGTTCGGTCCTGGCTCATCTATCACGCCGCGAAAAAACTCGCTCCTTATATCGTGTCCTTCTCTCCTTTCTACCCGGCTCTACCCGTCCTTCTATTGTCTATTATCGCTTCCCTTGTTTCTTCTGCCTCCTCCGCTCTCTGCTTCCAGAGCGAGTTCATTTTTGAAGAAAATTCTACATAAGAATTCTACACAATTGTACATAAGAATCGTCGATATTATACTGAGATTAAAATTCATCTCTTAGGGAAGTTATAGTGCAAGGAGTCCATAAGTACTGTGTTCAAGGATTTGGCAAAGTGTTTTCGATTATGTGGCGATTTGCGAGTAGATTCTCGAGGACGATTATTGTATAACTCTCATATTCTGTGAAATCAGGTTTACGTTATCGGAAAGGTCGCTGAACCTGGTCTAATATCATTTAAACATAATACCATGGTCGTTTAGGAAAAGTCCGCACCCTCGTAAAACAGGAACTTCGCCGACATCTCCGAAGGCAAACGATCCGCAGTTCCAAACCCCTCCTCCATATCCATCAACACCAACAATCCCCTGCTCCATGGCAATCTTTCGACCTTTCAACGTTTCTCAAAATATTTCTCGAATCCTAACACAAGTGACAAATATGGTTAAAGGGTGAACGTATCGACCGGATGGCGAGATAGTTGGAAGCGGAAAGGGGAGTAAACGGGATGGTAAAAAGCAAAACGATCCATGAACCGGGCAACAAGACGGTGGCGGACACGACTAGGGGCGAAGACGCTAGAACGAGGCATTTGTCGCGAGTAGAGCAAACACTCGCAACTCCATCAACGTCCCCGAAGTTTCTTTCGGGTGTTGCCTCGGCTACGGTTGTATTCAACGGCACGGAGCGTCGGTGTTCTATCGCTTTTCGGTTTTTGCCTGTCACCCCTGCCCCTCCTAAGCGGCGCGACCGTGCGCTAGCAAACCACTCGTGGCTGCCCCCTCTGGCTGAGAAATGCCGCTACTTTTATTTTGCCGGTTCCCTACGTTAGCGATTTTTCCATCACCGCGGCGAGATATTTCACCGGCAATCTAAGAGTCGCAAATGGAGTCCACAATGAGGCAGAAATGGCTTGGCGCACTGATGGCCCCGGCATTTGTCTTCCCTCTGTTCCTTCCTTCTTTCCTCGTCCTCCTTCCTTTGCCCGGCTCGAGCACGCGTCTCCTTTCCCCCCTCTCGTTGCAACCTACGGTCAGATGACCAGTGCCTTATTCACGCTGCAATTGTTTTCCTTTAATCTTGGCTCGTTTCTTTTTTAATCGAACTACAGGCAAACGTTGATTACATTGGCATACACGGTGTGCGAAGAGTTGGCAGGTTAGAAGAGGATCCGAAGCTCGAGACGAGCCCCAATTAAAATATCCTGATCACCAAAGAGCAGAGGAAGGAATAAAAAGTACGCGATCTCGAGACTCTTCATCTTTTCCAGTTTAACCGACCATCAGCTCAAGTGAACACGCTTATTAACGACATCATTGCGGCCAGCTGCTGGTACAGGGCTATCTTTATGCAAAGAGCGCGTAAGCGTCGAGGAAAAGGGCAGAGGATCGTGGAACGCGGTCGTGCGAGTCAGCGCAGCCATCTCGAGGGCGCCACCGTCCCCGCCATCTTCTCCGCGCCGGGCAATAGCCGCGCAATTATAAGTCCATCAACGGCGAACGAAGCTCCGCGTTTTTCTGACGCCAGCCGCGACAGCCGCGAGTGCTGAAGAGAAGGAAGAACGACCGCGCAAGCAAGAGGACGCTTTCTACGGTGCTCGGATCGTGTGCGTGGCGCGTACAGTGCTTTGCTCGAAAGAGGCAGAGACCGGTAACGCGGGCATTTCGTGCATCAAAGTCGGTCTGATGCGATTTTAATCGCGGCTACCCCTCCCG